TCTCTCTCATCCAGGAGCTCCCGTAGTTCTTTAATATCCTTGTTTAAGTTTAGTTTATCATCTTTGTGCCGTATTGAACGTGCCATATTCGTCGGAGTCTTCTTTGCTCAAGAAATTTTTGTTTGACTTCTAGTGGTAAATTTTTTAGTGTTTAGCCAACATGCAACCTGGATCATATTGTTTATGTACTTAGTTGCATCTTCAATCTCTTCCGGTATTTTAAGAGCAACCTTTAATTCTAAGTTTTCCTCCAGGTAATGTTAATTCAATTTTGTTCAATTGTTACCATTGATGCACTTCCTAATGATGCGCTGTGCGGTCGCGTAAAAACAGGCTAGGATGGGAGGCCTGTTGAATAAATTTCCTTTTTCCAGTAGCATTCGCTGATATGGATGCCTGGTCACACATCCACACAGTCTTCGGTTTAATTTATTGTGCTATTATTTTCATTTACTTTATTCATATATGCTCCCACGAGTGAGGACGAAATTTGAGGTCACTAGAAAGGTGACGCCTATTCTCCTTAGAAGGCTTCTACAACGACGTTTGCCAGGCCCGTCGAGGTTGTTCGCTAGTGACTGATCTCGCTCCAGCCAATCAGTCATCTCAGTCTTGAGGTGACTTTTTATTGAGGTTTTCTGCCTCGTGGCCCAGACAATAAAGCCAAGACCACCAATCCTGTAGGGTTGTATACAGGATTGCGGTTTGTGAGGGTCGTTTTCTACCATCACTTGAGCCATGCTGTTACGCTGACTGGGTCAGGTTAGTTAACCTCCTCCCGTGATTCGGCGCTGCCGTTCATTTGGTACCACCCAGGGTACACGTGTAAGGTTGTGGTTAGGTAGCTCTTATGAACGCGAATATCTTTATCCCCCATATACGAGGGGTGATCCAAAAGTAATGATAATCGGTTACTTCAGAACCGCATAAATATCCAAAAAAAATATTTTTTGCTTGCTTATATACTCACTTCTTCAGCCTAAAAAAATCATATAAATAGATCACGATTTCCGGGAGATACATTCATTTGAATACGAACTGTCAAAGAGATAACATCAACAGAGCTGTCATCAAGTACCTCTGTTTGAAAAAAATGTCTTCAAAAGACATACACAGTGACTTAGTGGAAACATTGGGGTACTGCTCCTCCATATTCTACAGTTGCACGCTGGGCCAAGGAGTTTAAACTGGGCAGAACATCCACTGAAGATGAACATTGCGAAGGACGCCCATCCACGTCCCTCACTGAAGACAACGTGAAAAAAGTCGAAGATGTTGTGTTGGCAGATCGAAGAGTGACCATCAGGCATGTAGCTGAGGTCACAGGGATCTCATATGGCAGCGTTCAAAGAATCCTTGCGAACGAGTTGCATATGAAAAAGGTCTCTGCGCGTTGGGTACCCAGAATGTTAACCGACGAGCAAAAGAAAAATCGAGTTGACATTTCGAGGGTCAATCTCGAAAAGTTCCAAGCAGATCAAGAAAATTTTTTGTTCCGTTTTGTGACTATGGACGAGACCTGGATCCACCATTTTAATCCTGAAACGAAACAACAATCGATGACTTGGAAGCGAGCCTCCTCACCGACGCCAAAGAAATTCAAAGTTTCAAGTTCGGCGGGAAAGGTTATGGCATCTGTTTTTTGGGACGCTCATGGCATGATTATGGTGGAATATTTGGAAAAGGGAGCCACTATTACGGGCTCTTACTACGCAGACCAAATAAGAAGATTACGGGAGGCCATTAAGGAAAAAAGACGCGGCAAACTGCGAGCTGGAGTGCTGTTTCACCAAGACAACGCACCGGCTCACAAAGCCGCAGTTGCGATGGCTGCCATTCAAGAAACGGGATTCGAACTGCTCGAACACCCTCCCTATTCGCCAGATCTAGCTCCTGGTGATTTCTACCTCTTTCCTCGGCTCAAGGAACCCCTCCCAGGCAACAAATTCGAAGACGATAGCGAAGTAATGGCCGCTGTTGAAGCGTTTTGGGAGGGTCAAGACAGAATTTTTTTAAAAGGGAATCCTGGGTTTAGAAAAAAGATGGACTAAATGTATTGATTTGTTAGGAGACTATGTAGAAAAATAAATTATTATTTTAACTTTAATTACCGTGTTTTATTTCCATTATCATTACTTTTGGATCACCCCTCGTATACAGTGTAATATTCACATACACATGATCACTTAGCGGTCAGTCATCACAGAGTATTTTACCTGAGGATGTCTCGGTTAGAGGCGAAACATGCGTTGTATTATCGGCAGTGGTGTGTTTTTCCTAGTGCAGTGGTGTTGGGGATTGTGCACGCAATCGAAAGAGGGTGGAGGTGCTTTTTAAACTGGGTAGACACAGCATATTGTTTAACTAAGCGGATCTTAGCTAATTCATTTTTAACATCTATAACTATAATTTTTTTTTATAGGATAGGGTGACAAACGAGCACGCAGTCCACCTGATGGTAAGTAGTTGCTGTGGCCCATAGACATCTACATTTATCCTCGTTTGCTAATCAAAATGCAGATGCGTTGTCACCCGTGAGGACTAAGATGGAATGCCTCTTTTCCAGTAAAAAGGGTCTCCGGTTCTCTACACTCACCATACGAAACGCAGCAGCTGCTATTTTACGATGGTATTCTGTGAGAGTGTGGTCCTTCCCCGGTCGAGCCGACCCATTCGTGCTACAACTATACTACTAATATAGCTACAGCATGGCTCTACTACGTAAAAAAAATATAATATAATGGATTTCCACAAAGTAACCCCTGATTCTATTAATTATATTATGTATGGTAAACATGGCATTCATATTTAGATAGCCATTTAATACAGTATGTTAGTTTGTATTATTATTATTATATATCTAAATTTTTTCACGATAAATATAATGTAATAAAATAATTATGATATTTTTAAATGAATCTTCATACATCTTCATACAAAATATAATAATGTCCTCCAAACCGAATTTCAGTCACGACGGCCAAGCTCAATAGAGTCTAGCCATGTGCACCAGACAGGAACGTAGTGCCCAAGTGTGTGCTCAAGCACAGAGTTCTCACTCTCATAGTCTGATGGGATGATAATCCGACACGACCGGAGAGAGATCAGGCGCCGGACCGACGGCTTTACGTGCTTTACGAGGCACGGGGGTGAGACACCGCCAACTTCCTGACTGCTACTGAGAACTTCTTGTTACAAAATACCCAGTAACTGATTTTGAGCCGACCCAGGATTCAAACCTACGATTTCATGATTAGCATCTGCGTTTACGACCTCTAGACTCGGTAGTCTGCATCAATATGCAGCCAATATAACCACTTCATAAACATAAGTAGGTACTTAAATCAATAACTGATTTATTCCAATGATTCTCTATAGTCTATACAATAGCCGCTTACTCATCGTCATGACTACAATACGTCAGGTAACTAAAGTTAGTTAAGAATATAATATTAAGTGCATAGCTAATTTTAGGGTATTGTTTATATAGGTTCAAGCACCTGTTTTTCTATTCATACACACATCATAAAATGGCAGATGGTGTCGGACACTATGTCGTCTAGGTAATTTCGTTGAATAAAACTATGTTTACGGATCGTATCGCGTTTAATTTACTTATTTTAATTCCCGAAGTTTCGGGTGCTTTACAGCAACCCATGGTCACAGGGGGGACTGAGATGTTTGACGTCCCGATGTCATAGTTTGCACGGCTACCTTCAATTTTTGAATATTATAAATGAATATACAAAAACTGAAAATAAAAACTTTTTAATATTCTTTATTTTCCAGGTGCATCAATGATCATATTCTTGTTAATTTATGCGTGGTTAATTTTAACTTGTCTTGAACTTATAATAATATGCTTGACTGAACTGTTAATGATATATGTTCTTCAATTACATATTAATTACGATTTTTCTACCAGTGTGATGTGAAACATAATAAGTAAAATGTCACAATAAAACACAATCTAGTTTTTATCTCCAACGCAAACAGAAGGGTGTGTGTCTGTGTGTCTGGCTGTGGCACTGTAGCTCCCAAACGGATGAATCGATTATAATTTAGTTTTTTTTTTGTTTGAAAGGTGACTTCGATCGAGAGTGTTCTTAGTTATGATATTTTTTATTTATTTATATATTTTATATTGTTATGATTCAAGAAAATCTTTTGAGCCATTTGAAAATCATTAGTTCTTTTTATTTTGGGTTTTTTTTTTAATTTTCAATTAAGTTATAGCTATGTTATGGTTGTAGCATGAATGACTCAGCTCGACTAGGAAAAGATCAGGCACTCACAAAATACTAATGTAAATAGCAGCTCTAATCAATAAATCAATGGTCCTGTGTTTTGTATGGTGAGTGTAGGGAGTTTTATACGTGGTAGAGCCATGCTGCAGCTATATTAGTAGTATAGTTGTAGCGTGAATGGGTCGGCTCGACCGGGGAAGGACCACGCTCTCACAGAATACCAGCGAAAAATAGCAGCTTAACACTGCTGTGCTTTGTGTGGTGAGTGTAGAGAACCGGAGACCCTTTTTACTGTATAAGAGGCATTCCATCTTAGTCCTCACGAGTGAAAACGCATCTGGATTTTGATTCGCAAACGAGGATAGATGTAGATGTCTATGGGCCACAGTGCCACTTACCATCACGTGGACTGTGTGCTCGTTTGTCACTCGATCCTATAAAAAAAGAGAACCGAAGACCCTTTTTACTGGAAACGAGGTGTTCCATCTTAATTCTCAGAGATGACAATGGTGGGTGGTCAATGGGCCACTGCAGCCACTTACCATCAAGTTGACTGTGTGCTCGTTTGTCACAATTATTCTTTAAAAAAAATTGGAAAGACGCAACACAACGGTTTTATCATTTACAATGTTGTGTATCAGATTTGTGATGGTTGGAATATGTCACTCTCCATGAAGGTTACTGGAAAAATAGGAAATAAGAGCAAGTGTTGTTACATTAAATAGATAATAATTCGTGTGTATTACTTTCCAGCTGTGGACTTCTTCAATCAGATCAACATGCTGTACGGCACCATCACGGAGTTCTGTACGGAGGAGTCGTGCGCGGTGATGTCGGCAGGGCCCAAGTACGAGTACCACTGGGCCGATGGCCACACCGTCAAGAAACCTATCAAGTGCTCCGCCCCCAAGTATATCGACTACCTCATGACCTGGGCGCAGGACCAACTCGATGACGAGACTCTGTTCCCTTCTAAAATAGGTGATGATTGGTACTAGACTATTTTGTGAGAGTTTTTTTTTTTATATAGGAGGCAGCAAACGAGCATGAGGGTCATCTGATGCTAAGTGATGACCGCCGCCCATGAACAACCAGGGGAATCGCAGGTGCATTGCTGGCCTATTGAAAACGTGTATTCTCTTTACTTGAAGGTCCTTAAGTCATATCGGTGAGGAAAAATCGCTGGTGGTAGTCGATTCCACAAGGAAATTGCGCGAGGTAGAAAACTTCTGGTAAATTACACAGTGGTTGACCGCCAATCTTCCTGATGGTATGGATGTGGCTGTGCCTGTGGCAATATGGCTGATTTTAATGAAGTTGTCAAACTTTATTTTTAAACTTTCTTCTGTCAAAGGAATCACATTTTCTACCGACTTCGAAAAGGAGACGGTACTCAATTCGACTGTATATTTTTTTTGTGTGTTACCTCATAACTTTTTACTGGGTGTACCGATTTCGATGATTCTTTTTTCATTTAAAAGCTGGTGCTTCACATGTGGTCCCATATAAATTTCATTAAGGCCTGCCCAATAGTTTTTGAGTTATTCTTGATAATTTATATTGAATTCGGTTGTACAAAATTTTAAATTATTAAGATGAATTATGAATATTAGGTTTGATAAACAAAATTTTGTTTCGGATTTGAATAAGCGACAGTAGCCTAATGGCAGCGTGTGGACTGCGAACTCACAAAGGTCGTGGGTTCGAATCCACCATTCGAATATTGTAATAAACCACTCCTAACACAAGCATTTTAGACTTACCGGGAATGGTCAAAGGGAATGTTACTAATGTTAATAACATTGCTAGGATTTAAAAAAAATCTATAAAAATGTTTTATTTTATTTCAATTATGATTCTGCATAAATGATTTCCTTTCCATGGGTGTCGTAAGAAACGACCCAGAAAAATGCCACCTCTGAATCCTAAAAAACTGAAGCCATAATTTTTCCAGCCGATTGTGATACCTTGTACTTCTTAGCCGTTGCTGCGCCTTTTTATGCCACTGTATGAGTCCACACATCCTGCTTTGGCTCAGGTTCATAGTGATGAACCCAAGTTTCATTCCCAGTCACGATTCTGTTCATTCCTGCTCTCAGTACACAGGTACAAAAACTCGCGCCAACACTCGATCCGCTATTGTTTCTGAAGCGACTTGAGCATTCTTGACACCCACTTTGCACTGACCTAAGACATGCCAAGATGGTCAAGGAAAATATTTAAAATAGTTTCTGAGAACTATTTTTTCTTCAGACGAGCATCTTCAGGAACAAGTATTTTACTTTTTCGACAATATCTGATGAAGTTGCCTGAATCGGTCGGCCTGAGCGCTGATCGTCTTCAATTGAGTCTCTACCTTACCTGAAAAGGCTATGCCTTCATCCTTTTTTCCAGGACAATAGTTCCCGAAACAGGTGACATTGCTTCCATAATGATATGTGGCATATTTCCTTGCTTAGTGAGGAATTTAATTCCGGCACGAAACTCAATTTTCTCCATAGTTAGTGTTCATTTCCCGACCGACTTGTTTATTCAGTGATATATCAAAGGTTAATAAACCGATCGGGTAGAAACTTTAGAAAGTCACCAAGTAGTGATCCCCCTCCATTCCTTGAACTTTTTGAGCCGCCGTCGTAAGTAGACAACTTATTAACACTTGGCAACTGATATTACTACTAACAACTGACTCTAAAACTAGATGCTAGGATTCCCTAGGCGTCCGTATGGGTACCTACCCACATAGGTGGTACCTACCACCCTCTTACCAATTGCTGCCGACAAACAGCCGTGCGTGCGCTGCTGGGTTCCTGTCTGAAGAGCACAGAGAGCCAGTATGATTACACGCTGTGAGGCATTCCTTCTTAGTCCTCAGAGGTGACAACGCACCTGTACCCTTCTTTGTTTGAAGTTGGATGCAAGTGTCCATGGACTACTGTAGCCACTCACCATTAGTTGGACTGTAAGCTCGTTTGTCCTTTTAGTTCTATAAAAACAAAACTATTTTAATGATTCCCTTATGCCCGAATACTCACACTGCTAATTTTAAGATGCCGTTAATTCTCATGCTGTCTCTATCACTTTAAGTCAAAGTGACTGTGACACCACGAGACTTCATGACATCTTATAATCGAGCAGTGATTAAGTATGTGGTCATTATTGCTATAAAAATCTTTATCGGATTACACAATATGCCTGTTTATTTTTCAGGTGTTCCGTTCCCGAAGAATTTTCTGTCTATGGCTAAGACGATCCTGAAGCGGCTGTTCCGTGTGTACGCGCACATCTACCACCAGCACTTCCCCGAGGTGGTGCAGCTGGGCGAGGAGGCGCATCTCAACACCTCCTTCAAGCACTTCATTTTCTTCGTGCAGGTATCCAGTTCCGTAACCGTGGTAACTCAGGAGAGCCGTAGTAGTTCAGGGGCTAAGCGCACGCTGTAAATTTCACAGTATGCGAGCAACCCGTGTTCGATCACCGCCGGCACCAATGAAATCGCTAATTGCAATTTTAAGTGTTGATCTATCACATACTCGGCGGGCAAGTAAAACATCGTGAGGAAACCAGCATGTCTGAGAACTAAGAAAAAAAAATATTTCGTAGATGTGAAGTTCGCCAACACGTATTGGGTTAGCGCGGCGGACATTTTCATGCCCTAAAACCCTCTCAGAAATGAGAGTTTGCTTGTGCCCAGCTGTGGGACGTGTGTAGACTATAACTTTATACATGTTAATTTGAACTAATAATAATAAACTGAGGCTCGTACTGGAAACGAGGCATTCAATTTTAGTCCTTGAGGGTGACAACGCATCTGCATTTAGATTTTTAATTTATGATAAATGTAAAATCTCTACGGGCCACAGCATCCACTTACTAACAAGTGGACTGTGTGCTCGTTTGTCATCCCCTATTCTATAAAAAAAAAATAACTGAAAATATTTAATGGAATCAGGCGCTATTTTGCGGAAATCCATTATATTAAAAATGATAAAAATTAATTAGCTAAGATTGTAAGGGTAAGAGTAAAGAGTCTAAAGAACACCTCGCGGCCTCCCTTAATTGTGTGCACTATTCCTGTAACCACTACTCCCAACACCACTACTCTAGGAAAGACACACCTCTGTCTATCAAGGTGACTTATACTCTGTGACTTATATACTAAGATCTTAATTGATGGTTGGGATTAATGTGGACGAGGATAGTGCACGCAATTGATGGTATGCGGGAGGTGCTCTACACACTAGGGAAGATACATAATTTTATTTTATTACGCGGATCTTAGCACATTAATTTGGTGTTCACCTTGAATATAATAGATTCCCAAAGTAACGCCAAAGACCATTCATTATATGCAATTTTGGTCAAAAAATATTTAAGTTGTTCTGATAAAATATTGTAGCCTAGATCTGTTCTGGCATTGCTCTCTATCTGTTCGTTCAGTTTTATCACAATCGGTTCAGCCATTCCGAATATTAGCCCGGACAGACAGACAGACAGGCAGACAAAATTTTAATTATTGTTGTTCATGTCTTAGAAGCTTGCAAATAACCTCCGGAGCTTAATAGAAGCCAGTTATTTGAATATTACTGATTATTTGTAGTTATAAATTAAACTTAAAAGTTATTAATAAAATTCTCATCTTCCCCAGGAATTCAATTTAATAGAGAGAAGAGAGTTGGCACCACTACAAGAGCTCATTGAGAAGCTGACTGCGAAGGAGGCGCGATGAGAGCCCCCCCCCCCACCCCTCACCCCCCTAGTATAGATCCGCGCTCGTCGCAATCACTGCCATCTCACTAATTAGGACCCATACCCCCACATAGTGCACAGATTTTATATTTAGGGTTTAGGGTGGCTTTAGCAACTGGTTCCAGTAGTATAAAGCTATCGGTCACATGTACTTCACACTACATCGCGTGCAATGTTTTCATTTTATCGAAAGATGTTCAAAAAGTTTCAAACTCCACATAATATTTAGTGCGTATTTACTGTCCAAAACTAATGTTTAACTCTGATAAAACTTTTTGAATATGTTTTAATTGAAAATCTATATTTATATTTATTAATGGTAGTTTTTTACCGGTGGTAGGACTTCATGCGTAGGAGTTCGCCTGTGTAGGTACCACCGTCTTCTTCATCTTACCTATTTATGCCGCCAATTAGCAGTGCTTGCAAAAAGTTGGTTGTAGTTGTCCATGGGCTGTTCAGCAGTTCAAGGTGACTATCGTAAACCTTCATACGCGCAGGCACATACAAAACCCGCACGGCCTCACAGAACACACACACACATAAATTTATATGTACTTTAAAAAGTATTAATTAAAAAAAATGTTACCCCTTACACTAGAATTTTCTAATGTATTGTGGAAGCAGTTTACATACATAAATTTCACACGCACAAACATCCAGACCCGGAACAATTCCTTGTAGGCCATACAAATACTTGTTCCGTGCGGGATTCGAACCCGCGGCCCTAAGCGCCGCAAGTTATTGCTAAGCCACTGCGCCACGGAGCCGTCGATAATATGCAATAAGTTTGAGTGAATGCGACGAACGCCCTCGGATTTGGACCTAAGCACTTAACCATTGTCACCAACCAGGGACCCTGGACTGGACGAAACACTCCACGTAGCTTACTTTAGTATACCAACCGCATTGAAATAATACGTGCTACGTACTAGAACAAATATCACGAACAAGATTTTTTTAGCAGTGCGGGCCGCGTAAAGTAAGTCACAGAGCTTTTTATGGTACAGACTAAGTTTGAGTCCATGGGCTCTAGCGCGTTGCAAACAACCGTGTTTCTTCTAGTACATATTACATGAGCAACCTGCATTACTACAGCATTTATTTTGAACGTTTGTGATACATTAGTGCCGGATATTTTTATAATATTGTCACAGTCTAAATCCTACAAACAGTCGGTCGTCGAAGACGTCTGGACGGGGAAATCGTGCGATTCGATGCGGTCCGAGTGGCCCTTAGCCGCTCGGGAACAGTCCGCTAGGGTTGTCTTGTCACGCAAATAAATTAAAATGGTTCACACTACATGTGTGGTGAAAAACTGTGGGTCGTCCTCATTTAAAGATAAATAATTAAATTTTCATAATTTTTCACCAGGAATTTGTTGTTAATTTCTTTATTACTTCCCGTTCTGACAACCCTAGCAATTTATAGTTTATGTCGGCATAACATCAAACGCGATGACTGACTGACTGATGATGTTCTTCTTAGGCTGTGGTATTGTCATGAACATTAATTTTAGTACTGTGTCTAGGTACATATATACATGACACTACTAGATTGTGTTGGTATTGATACAGCCATATATAAAGCTTACAAAGGATATGCATTTATTTTTAATGCAACTAACTGTTATACAGCGTTGTTAGTAAGGATAAAGGGATTAGTTAAGGATTATATACTCACAAATATCCAGCTTTTAGATTTATTGTTACCAAAATCTAACTTGTAAGCTACTGTCATAGCATATACTAATAATTATTGTCTTCTGGCACAGCTCCATACTTTAAATGGGAAAGTTAGACAATTGTCAACTCTAAAACGTCACAACTATTCAATTCATGTAGTTTTTTCATACACCGGCGACCCGCCCCGGCTTCGCGCGGGTGATTTCTAAATCTCAACAACAGCGCAGGGACATACTCAAACACATGTACAGAAGTTATATATATATATATAACTTCTGTACATAATATAAAGATAAAAAGTTCCTTAAGAGTACAAGTGTTTAAATTTCCCATTTAATATAATATTTTCATAGATTTCGGTCTTCGCGCATTTAATATGAGGTGTGTGTGCCCATGACAATTTGTTAATATATATTGAGGAGTTCGAATATAATGGTTACAGTCTAATCTATAGTGAAATTCTAATCTAATCGATACATCGATATCGATGTTTCGAATCGACTTTAAAAGTTGCCATATATTTCGATGTCATTTTGGTTTTCAATACTTTTTGACGGTAGAACATTTTAGTGACACGTTTTATCGAATTTCTATGTCATAAGAGAACCCCTTTATGAGGGTTGTGGGTAAGAGGATAGAAATGACTTAAAAAAACGAACGAGTTGGCAATTCGATTGCGTTTTTTTTAATCTACCAATTTAACTATTCTGTTTTTTTTTTTACCGACAAAGGATGTTTTTACAGTAGTCCATATGTATGAAAATACTATAAGGATTCAAGTCGGTTAAAATTTTTTAAATAATCAATTTGTCTCTCTCTCTTTTTACTTAATGGCAATAAACAAATATAGAGATCATTAATACGGAATTTATTCAAGCGATAATAGAATTAATTACTTATAACCTATAAGTGAGGTCCTCCATATTTGAATTAAAATACCACAATATGGTTATTTAACTCAACCGCTAAAAAGATTTACAAATCCTAAGTAAGCAATGAATATTGCATCTTCATCTTTAAGGCTTATAAGTATAGTATGGAAGAGTCGATCGATGAAACCCCAGTAATTTAGATTTGGTGTAGCGAAATCTACCGGAGATACATCGTAATACATAAAACTATGTATTGTATTATATTTTTATAATATTCCCATGAATTGCCCTAAAAAGAAATTTTGATCTTAGCATTTTTGATCTGATTCAAATGAATTTCGATGTAGAAGAACATAAGTGTATTTTATATAGGTTCGCTATGAAATTATTATTTTTGTAAGGTAATTGTGCAGTGTGGGCGGCTCTGCGTAGTGAATAGCCACGTAGTGTGAGTCGCCGTACTGCGGAGGTAGTTTACACGATTTGTACTTTTGCAAGAGCAATACATTTGCTATAGTGCTTTCAATTCATAAGGTCGAGCGGGCTTCACTTGTGGTAATCACGTATTCGTGTCAAAGTGTGCGTGAGACCAAAAGCGGGTATGGTTAGCCCCGTGAGACTCGCACACTATCGCAATGTGCATGTACTCGTTCAATCACGAGTAAAGCCCGCTCGACTTTGTGAACCATATCGTGAGGTGGACAGTGGGGACAGGGAGTAACGTCCAGTACCCGGCAGTAAATATTACACAAAACAGATAAATCTCTTAGCTTCGGCTTTATCGTCATCTCTGTCGCACGAAGCGCAACAGTCCGGTATCTATTAAGAGTTGAATACAATTATGTTTTTTTTTAATATACTATATATTTATATATTTGATTGTTAACACCTTAATAACTAGGGTAACATAGGGCTAACTTAATGCCTAACGGCATTCAGTAACCCGTGGAGTGATGAGATTTTGTGGCAGGTGCAAATACATACATATATATCAATATATACGTACATACTATATATGCATATAATATACAAAAACTTTATGTAAATATCTGAACAAAATATGTATCATACATAGATATAATATATATGTTACATATGATAATAAAAACATATATTGACAGCGAAAATAATTGAACACCTAAATATTATATCAAAATATATTATCACCATTCTTAACGTCCAACATCGCTTCATAATTATATAGCACATCGCATTATTATATAGTATTTTTTGTAATATATATACTCATAGACGCCTAATAATAAATATAAAACGTTTTGTACAAAATATTTATAAAAATTGTAAACAATATCGCGTATTAGATGCCAATGTATAATTTTAAATTTGGGGTTAATACAACTCTTCATATATTTGAAGTGAACGCGACCGCACCTTCGCGATTTCGTACTACGACAGACCCTAAATGTCACACAGGTATGAGTGACAGAGACGACGCTCTACAAAACCACGGCTAAGCGATTACCTGTTTCTAAAGCTTTATATAATATTTAGTGCTGGGGTGCTGTAAGTCCTCTTTTGTGAGCTGTTTGTTAGTGTTACTGGACACTGCTTCGTCAGATTATTGCAGTGTGCGCGGCGCTCACTCCACGGCTGCACAGGATTATGAGCGCAAAATAAGCACAGTGGGACTAACCAAGTTTATTTTCTACAATTAACGATTGTTTTAGCCAAGTAAACTACGTTAACGCAAAAAAAAAAATCTGCAGCTTACACGCGGTAGAAGTGAAACCTTCAGAAAAGGAGACCGAGATAATAGGAAACACTGTATACTGTATTCTATCTCATTCTCTCGTAGGCGAAATCGTATAGATGTATATGTTTGTCTCTTTTTAGTGTCACTTTTTCGTTTTATCGAGTTTACCGCAACGATGCTAAAGAAGTTTTCGCTTCGAAAATAAGTTTTATAGTTTTCTTTTAGAGTTAACGATTGCAGAAAATAAAGCTGACTATATGCGCAGGACTGTTTGCTTTTCGTTTCGCACTAACTTCAAGTGCATTGTGTGAAGTTTGCAAAATTTACTAATTAGGTATTTATACTTTAAATAATGCGTATTATGAAAGTTGCAGTTTAGAGAGTGAAGTTGTCCATAAACCCACGTCTTTATTTTGTGCGCGTAATATTTTGAGCCATAAAAATGGCATATTATATACTTACAGTTTATTTACGATTAGTAATATCTTTGATCTCATACAAGTTATAAATACAGTTCTATAAAACAAAGACTTCTATGTAGGTATTCTATTATGCCCGCCACATACAGAATTCCGTTTCGGGATTCCGTTTTGGTATTCCGAACGGGTCGGCCACACACATTCGAATCCCGTTTTGCCCGCAAACTTTTGAACAGAAAACTACCGTACGTGTGTGACGGCTCCTTGATTTTATATGGACTTGCTGCGTTCGG